AACAGTATCTCAGAAAGATTGATCATGATTCACCATCGATGGCCCGGGAAGACACACACGACTTCGGACAAGTTACGATGTATTTCTATGAAGGTATTTCAAGAAGATTAGAAGTTACTACTCATTAAGGCATTTATTTGCCTTAAACTACTGACCCGGCTAATTGTATTGTTTTGTTAAACGTAGTAACACGCCAGTTTGGATGCCTGAGCGGCATGCAACCATATAGTATTAATTGTTTTGACTGTAGAGGAAGATGAATATTATTAATCTAAGCAGAGCGACATGATTAAATCGTAATTTGGCCATTTCACTCCAGGTTTCTTTTTAGGTAAACGCTATGACTAATCTAACGACCTGACTACCGAAGTCTAGAAACAAATTTGGGGAATATAAAATCTCTTAACGAGCTCATTTCTTAGCCTACCTTCTCTTCCCTTTTGAGACGAAAATTACTTCTGTTACCCCTGTCTGGATGAGTGTTGTCTTCGATTTCTATTAAACGTTTTTCAACATCTTCAAGCTTCAATAGGATAGAAGTCTGTCCCCCATGGATTCTAACGAAGAAACCTGTAGAGAAGTCATGCTCGTCAACGTATGTTTTGAATGTCCTGGGGCTTATCAGCTAAGGGCGTCTGGTGGAGACCACGTGCTACTCCCGGAATGCGTGGATAACCGCCTGATTGGTTTCATTGATCATTCGCGGTTGAAACTTGTCAAAACATAACGTTTATCACTGTGGATGGTTTGTCAAGCAAGGAAAAAGTAATTTGAGCTGCCGTCCTGCCTCGGACGCCGCTTTTCTTTCTGTTGTTTTTATGACAGGCGTCGCTGACAAGTTCTGTTTCTTTCCGCCCTCTTGCTCTACATCGAAAGCAGAGCTCACCTCTGCACATCACTACATTCTACTGAGCATGGCGTAGATTACCCTGTTTATTTCAACTTGAATCGCAATAACTGGAGTACCCATGGCCTCATGCCCATTCCAGGAAACGCAGCAGCTTGTGAAAAAACAGTGCGGATGCCTCAGGGCAAATAACTTTTGTCGAGTCGGTCAAATTCATTTAAACTTGCCCAGGACAAAGAAAGATCTTGGGCTCACTACGGATCGACTGTATATGCTTTGCGTTTTATCGGTCGCGCTGACAAACATCTCCACAATGGAAATTTGTTTCATTTTCTGGTGAGATTTACATTGACAATTTTAGAACTTAAAAGCCTTCTTTGAACACAGCAAAGGTAACAAACTGTCACACGCAAACATCACGGACAGAGAGCAATCTCCTTTGTTGTCTCCGCGTGTCGTGTCAACGAAAGCTGAGGTGGGACTTCATCAGAAAATAATTCCCAAAATTGCATGTAAAGTGACCAAAGTCTTGCGAACTTTGTAAGAAACTAAACATATTCCTTGTATCTTCGTAGCCATCATATTTGTTCTTGTGAGCTAATTACACACATTTCAGGTGTGGTAGTACTAAAATATATATATCATATCAGTGGCAAGTTCCTCCTAGAGACCTCACGGTCCTCACGTGACTAGCTACACGCGTTTCCTCCTACGACAAGGCCGCAGTCACTGGAAACGAGATTGTAGCAGCGGCAATGAATGCTGGGACATATAATCTTCACAAAATGGCGGGTGTTCACAAAGAGGTCTTGAGAGCTGGGAGCGGTCCTACACCCCAAAAGGGCGCGACAATAACTGTACATTGTACTGGATCTTTAAATACAAATCCACCCAAAAAGTTTTGGAGGTATGTATTTTCCGATCACTATGATAGTCATTATAAATTGTGGAAACTCGTGATTATAAGCGTGTTCGATTTCACTGAACTTCCTGCAATGAGCATTGCGTGACTTGTATTTTGGAATCTGTATTTGAATATTTCTACGAACTTTTGCCTCTAAAGGTATGCCTCTCAACCAGTTATTTCATTTCTTAGTTTTTCTCATTCTTCTATAGACTTTATAAGCTTTAAGTTTGTTTGTTAAATGATAACGGCCAAATATCAGGTGTGCGCGATACATCTGAACAGGAAAGACTCCAACACAGCAAGATCTCACCATACTTCGCCTCAGTAATCTCCTCAAAATATGCGTAATCTTGGCAAGATGGTGTCAAGATTTGGCAATTCATGCTGCTACATTCCGCGACCCCCGAAATTTGTCGGAACATCCACGGGAATCTTCTACAATCTTCGGTGATGTACGGAATATTATATGCAGGTTGTATGAAAATCACATGCATTTGACTTAAGAAAAATTAGGAGGTATAGAAAGTGTCTGATTTATGCTACAGGGCTGCTAGTGGTTAATTTTGAAAAGGACAAATCAAACGTTCAAACAATCATTCACTGTATCTGTGTAACTATGATGAACAACAGGCACATCTTCTGTACAACGTTGTCTTACTTAGGGTGCATTTCTTTGAGGTGATCTGGATCAGGATCAGTGATCCAAGATCACTTGGATCATGGTGCATCAAAGGATCCAATGAATTCGTGACCAGAGTGGATTCTTCGGCTCCTTTGATGAACTATGATCCGAGTGATCTTGGATCACTGATCCTGATCTAGTTCACCCCAAAGGAACCCACCCTTAGTCACCATTTTGATCAGTTAAAAAATGAAAGTCGACAACATCACTCTATAAGGGATGACAGAGCAATGTTTTGATTGGTGGAGTTTAAACATGAATGCCTATCTGGATTTGCAAGTCTACTAAGTTCCCCCAGCTCCCAGCGGGGTACTCCCAGAAAAATCAGGTGTGGGTATATGTCCCGCTTCCCAAAACCCTTACCCTATGTAAGACCAAAATATTCAATTTTCTCTACCCTATTTAAGACCTAGCCCTTAAATCAATACCCTGTTTCCGACCTGTCTCATGATTAGTCACCTAGTTCAGACCGATGTTAAAGGCATTGTAAGGGGCTTTTGTTGATGGTCTTATCAATAATGATGGAAAAGTAGCTCCTTTAAAGAAAAAAAAACATATTCAAAACAAGAGTACAAAACCATACCCTATTTGAGACCAAAATGACCAAAATGGATATCCTATTTATGACCAAAAGGCAGAACAGCTAAAAATCCATACCCTTTGGGGCTGCACATACCTATATAGCCTATATAAGGGAGTTCACCACCCTCTCCCGAGGCCCAGCTCCTAGACCTGTATGGTCCATGCTTTGTTCAACTTTAGCTCAAAGTGCCCTATTCTAATACTTGTGATGCACAATCATTGCAACACAAAGGCGCATACCAGGGAGCTACCAATTGCATTCAAGTTAATTTCTTTTTATCTGTAAAGTGATCTACCGGTAGTCACTGATGATTGAAATAAAATTTGCCTGAAGCAATAGCTGACCATGGACAGGATAATACTGGATAAGGGGAAAAATTTGATCAGTCACTGCCTGAAGACTGACTATTATTTGCAGTCAAGATTACAACTTTGTGTGATAACAAGGAAGGTTTCTACTAAAGCAATAATAATATGAAAAAAAACACACTTCTTGGTATTGTTTTGTGCAAGTGATGGTCAATTTAATATTTTGGTACCACCTTGTTTATCTGACTATTCACCCATTGAAATACTTAGCTCATAATTATAATTATTGTAATATTATTATTACAACTGTTAAAAATCTTATTTTAAAGTACAAAGGATCCAGGTCAGAAACCATTCACATTCCAAGTTGGATTGGGGAAAGTGATCCAAGGTCAGTGTATATATATGCTATTTGCCACCTAGGAGGTCCATATAGTGAAAAACTGTGACTGAGGTCTTGAAAATGCTGCTTGAGGCCCATGGCTTCAGGCAACATTTTCAAGCCCAAGGTCACAGTTTTTCACTACACAGACTGACTCCAAGCTGGCAAGTAACATGTTTATTTTTTTTTCCTGTGGCAAACTGGCTTACAAGTGGGTTTGTTTATGCCATTGTGTCTCTAAATCAGCTTACGTGCCATCTACAAATCATTTGTAAAAAATTTTGCAGTGGCTAACTTAGATATTAGACCCAAAAGCATGTATCAAAGAACGGATACATTTCTTACAAATTAATATTTATTGTATTTAGTTCACCACTAAGTTCTTCAAAATTATTTTCTGGTGTGAATTTTTGTGTAAAGTTTGAAGTTGTACTACAAAAACAATTTTCTGTCACTCATTGCAAATCACTTGAAATCAGGCTTTCATACTGTAAATTAAATAGCAGAAAGTTAGGAAATTCATTAAGGGTATTCCACAGAAATTCCCTCAAATACACCAATGATCAAAGAGGTAAAATCAACTGAAATTGACTCATTTTTTTAGTTAAAATTGTACACCATGAGAAACCGGGAGAAACACAAAATAACATGTCATTACAGCGCCACTTAGAAACAACGAAAGAAACTCCCACAGCTTTAAAACACCCATTTGAATTTACTTGCAGTGACTTTCCTCGCCATCGTAAAGTGAATAGAGATAAACTTGTGTGGATTAATCGTTGATTGAAGTGTAAAAAGGGCAAAGGTTGATGATTACCTCTTGTTTACTCATGAAAATTGACCAACATGTCGATTTCACCTGCCATTTCCCATCATTACCATGATTGGTCAGAGAAAGGAAAATATGGACTGTGCTGAGAACCAATCAGATTGCGGTAGTGTAGTGTTATGTGTTGTTTTAATATATTTTTTAATATTATTTTTGTTTGTTTTGTTTTATTTTTTAATTGATCCAAAATACTATGTAAAGCATTGTGGAGAAATTTCATGTCAGAGTTTTAAATGCCTTCGTTACTGGAGGATGCAGTGAGTGCATGAAGGCAGACATCTCTTTTTGTCAGCCTCTGTGCATACAGTTAATCAGTGTATTAATATTAACCAAGACCTTGCCATATTGACCGAGCAATAGCCAGGTCAATATTGCAAGGCTGAGGTTTGAGATTTTGCTGTAAAGATCGAATGTTTGAGGTTAATAACATGTTTATTATTTGGCTTTTTGCTTTGTCTTTGCCTGCCTTTAATTGGCCCATGCACAGCATGGGAGAGTAACGTCCCAGAGTTAGCCAATCATAGTGTGCGTCACATCAGCTACAAACACAAGCCATATAATAATGTGTTTCATTTTCATGTCCAGGTTGGGATGAAGGATGCATGACAATGAGTAAAGGTGAAATAGCCAAGCTCACTATCCCAGCTGCAAAGGGTTATGGATCACGTGGTTTTCCAGCTTGGGGATATCCTTTCAGTTACAAATAATTATTCTTAAATGAGTTCTACTTGTAGCTTGTATTTTATTGTTAAACATGAGCAGTGCATGTTGTGAAATGAGTTCTTGCATGTGGGATTTTTATTTTGAAACATGAGCAGTGCATATTGGTGAACCAGTTAATCAGCTGGAAGGCATGGAGGAGGGAATTGGTGTGCTTCACTTAGTTATTTTATTATTTTGAGGCAAATTCACAGTAGTTTAGCCAAGCAGAAGTAGTGACACTGATTGTGTGTATATGTATCGTGTTTGGAGCTTGTAAGTAACATCACTTGTATATACCACAACGTCTCTCTGATGACAAAATGTCCCGTGACCAATAATTCTGATGTGATTTTCTTCCCAAGTGTACGAGAAGTGACTGAAAATCTTGAGAGGTATGCGAAGGCTTAGGAAGAGGGGAAAAGTGAGGAGGGGAAGAAAATGCCTGCAATGTAAATTGAAAATAAATGATAAAGTTGCTCACAATCAGCCAGTCATGACCAAATGTTCTTGGTCACTTAACAAGAACAGGTAACAACCAATGAGAGACAAAAATGCTTAAATTATACTTCTTAAAATTATAGACAGGTGATTGTTTAGGACATAAGAATTGTTTATACTCCTTAACTGTACACACAATTCCTGCAAATGCTGATCTCCTGTTTGAAATAGAGATTCTGTCCATAAACTAAACAGACGAGCAGTCTGTCATCCTTAGATTAATCCATTAATTGATGTATTGGCAACTTGTAATGAAGTAGAAGTAGATGTAGGTAGCATAAGAGTGTCACGTGAAAGCTCTGCAAACATTGTAATACTAAGAACACTTACATTTTTTGTTACAAATTTTCATTATAAATAAATCAATATGTGATGCTCAGAGAGCAACACCTATTAAAGTTGACATTAAACTTGTTAATTTTTGTGAAGGTGGTTTTCAAGCAATGTTGTCCAGGATTGAACCCTAATGAAAAGCACACTTTTTATGATAGGCACCACAAAGTCTCCCCATCGATAAAAGTTCACCACAATAGGCACAATTCTGTATATTCTGGGTCAATGACCTGCAGTAACTCTTAGTCGATAGACTTTTAGTTGTAAATTAATGAAGTTTTATGTGCGTCATGTCATTGCCTGTAGTGGGCGTGGTCTTTTGCTGGCCTGTTGTTGGATAATTTTGTTAGCATCTCTGACGGCATCTAGATACCCACCCGAAAATGGTGCTTGCTTTCTTGCCCCAGATTGCTGCGTTTTTGTGTAAACCTACCAAATGTTGAGAATTCAAACTTTAGAAATCCAAGATTTGGCGCGCTAAATCTTGAAAATTCAAGATTTGGGCTGACAAATAGTGAAAATTCAAACATGGGGTTTGCGCAGTGCTTTTCCCTCGGCTCCCTTTAGTTTGCACACTTATATTTTGCTAGACTGCGAGCACGCTCTCATTTCCTCGAAAATCCGTGGGGAAAAACGCAAAACAAGTGAGCGTGCGGGCGTGACTCCCCCGCGCTACTTGCGGCCCGCGGCTTCGAATGTGACGCTCGTATGCTCACGACTACTAACTTGGGTTGCCTTCTTAGTGTTCTTCCTCACGGATTTGCCAGTAAGAGAGAGACTGCTCGCGGTCTAGTATTTTGCTTTGCGCTAATCAGTGATATTTCTGTAATGCGGGCTTTGCTTCGCTGATGCCGGGTTTGTTGCAGTACTATTCCCTCGGCTCCTCGTAATTTTTGCATGCTTGCCTTCTTGGTTTGTATTATCCAGTTATGTGTTTCCGTTGTTGGCTTTCAGTTCGCAGACCTATTTTCTTGTAACTTGTGCTTTCAACTTCGAGTTAGTTTCTTGTGCACTTGCTGTTGCTCCATTTTGTTTTGTTACCACCACCACCACTGCTATTATACGTTATGTTCAGTTTCTTGGCGTATCATACATTAGGAACTAAACATTTTGTTTGTAACCTTAAGTCGGCATCGATTACAAAAATATGCTTAATAAACTGCTGTTGGAGCCAAGGTCTGCGTTTTCCTTGATTATCGAAAAAAAAAAAAAGAAAAGAAAAGAAAATACTGGTTTTCTTCACTTGTTCCGCTTGGGGCTGTCCTTGGGATTTGAAAGGGTGGATCCCGTGCTACAGGGGGAAGTGCTGCAAGTTTAAGCACTAAACGTACGAATACTCACGTGGGTCTTTCTCCTACACACCTAAAACAAGGGTTTCTCAAAGCGAGGAAGTCTGCAACCCTCTCAAGCTCCCTCCACTCTAGATCCACCCATGGGGGAGGCGGGCGTTTTCTCAAGCACGTCTAAATACCACTACTGTGGGTTTTTATCATGTCAAGGGGAGGCTCCGCCAGAAGTGCAGCTCTTACCCTATAAATTTAAGGTCACGGTAAACCTTCAGGACCTTTAGAGCACCTTTAGAGCACCTTTAGAGCACCAGTTTAAACTGTACATACCTAAACCCCCATATCAGATTAAAGCTTATAGAGCTGGCTATCCCACTACACCAATAATTTTGAAATAAAATGAATTGTCAAATTTTTCATGACCTTTAAATGTGAGCGTCTGAATCATTTTTTGGGTCCCTTTTGACAGCTACAAGTCAAAGGGAATTTGTTCTGTTTGTCCTCAAATAGGTTGGTATATAAACAACAAAAGCGGGTCTGCGAATTTTTTATTTCCAAATATTTTTCCGCAGAGCGGGTTTTCTACGATCACTCCATATTTTTTAAATCCTATTTCGAAAATACAGTGGAACCTCACGCAAGTGACCACCCAAAATGTCAAGCATTAGTGGTCGCTTACAAGAGCTTAGACCATATAGGGTCAAATTTTGCCTCAATAGCATATGCTAATTTTAACACATTTAAGGTCTTCAGTAGTGGTATGGGCTAGTCCAGTACAGATTTGACA